TCACATCTATACATTGTACAGACTAGAGCTCCAACACAGACAGCACAAACTACAACATGACTGAAAGCAGCATAGCTGCTTGCTGCTGTTAGATAGACACTACAGTCCTGTGCAGGTGTGAGTTCCCTGGATCTCGGGAATACACAGAAGCACACTGAATAAAACCTCCTTTTTCATATTTATATGATCCAGGATTTGATTGGATATTAACAAACTTCAGATACAAGACTTCCTAGCAGTATTTTCCTCATTGCCCACTGAAAACAGACTGACATAACTTGAAGGGTTTTCTTTAAATGCTCCTCTAAAACATCCAGAAAAAAGCAGCTGGGAGCCAGGCAGTGCCCCAAAACTTTAATACTTAAGTGCGAGGCAGTTCCTTTCAGATGTTTGGGACAGCTTATTTTGGCAGAATGGCTCAGTGCCCAGCAGCCTTGGGGTGTCTGAAGGAAAGGACAAAAGACATTTCAGCTTCTGCGTACACCAAAACTAAAGGATCCTCCTAAAAAGATGGCTGATTAAGCCCCTGTCAATCCAGCTCTAAACTGCTACTAAATGTACAGCCTGGACAATACACATTTTTACCAGATCTCCAGTCAATACCTTACCATTTTACGGTAAATCCTCTACATTTCTTAACAGCTAAGTGGAAACATGTACAGCGACAAGATTCACATGCCTGTATACGTGAGGCAGTAATTTCACCAAACGCTGCTTGGCTAAGCCTAAATTATCTTGAAAAACTTTCCCGGCTACATTTTCTTTGGGAAAAACATAAAACAAACAAACAAACAAAAGGACTCAAGTCAAAGTGCAACTCAGTTTGTCTTTCAAGGCATTGAAGAAGACTGGACAATGAATAAACAAAGTCCCATTACCTGGTGGTGGAGGGGATCCAGTTTGGTGGTGCAGTACCGTCACCAAGGCTAGCCTTTTCTTTGGCCTTGGCTGTCATTTCTGAACTGATTACTATGGCAGCTCAAGTGAGCTGATGAAGAGATGCTACAACTAAATACCGGGAAAAGGACAGAATTGCTTTGTGGCAAGGCTCTCTAACACCCTGATCATCTTTCCTGCACCCATACACACACCCGGATTTTCAGCTCAGTAGTTGAGCAGGTACCTCGCATCCCACATTGATTGAAGTCTCTTCTATTCTCTTGTACTTAAAAATACAAATATTGGTAACTGTCTCTCTGACAGCTCTTTCAAAAAAATTAAAACTAAACCAACTGATCAAATTAGTAGCTGCAAAAAAAGAAGGAAAAACTCCTCAAGACTTACATGATTTGTATCGGAACTTTAAATATGTAGGGTAATTGTCTTCAATTCCACACAGAAGGGAAATTAAACTCTCCTGATAAAAATGTAAGCCTGATTTTAAAAAGATATAAAATTTAAAAGAATGTATCTATAACCACAGTGATAGAGTTAAACTGGGTAACCAGGTAAAAGATTGCATAATGATGACAAAGCTTTACCTTATCTTCCTCCGAGTTGCTGACTTTTCATTAGCGCGACTGTTTTTGCCCTCTGCCCTTTGTCATTCAGAAAATAGACAATCCAAAAATATACACATTCAACAGAAGAACCTTACTATTTAAAAAAAAAAAAAAGGAACCATCACAGGCCTAAGAACTTCCACACTGGTATCACAAAGAGCAGCAGCATGGACATATCTGAGGACACATGCTCCCCCCAGCCTGCTATGTGCACTAGGTGACACAGTCAGACAAGATCTTGTAAGCTAATGGAGAATGTATTTTCATTGATTATTTTATTTAAAACAAGTAATGAAATGGTCTCAGTGACACTGGAGGAACCTATGGATAGGCATTAATGCATCTCAAACTGACTAGAGACAACTAGAAAAAAAAGCCTAAGAACATGGAAAAAACTCACGAGAATGGGTGAGCATAATCCTAGAGAGATTTATTTAGTTTTGGACAGTCTGTCAAGGACTTGCTTTCTATCTTCCTTTCCCAATAAATTTTAAGAAATTCAAATAGATTAACTTTGTAGGGAGGCAGATTGCCTATGGAGGCTCCCTGGGCTATACTTCCACCATAGGGGGAAAAGAAACATCAATTATAGAAGAGCAATTTTTAAGGGCCAAACGTTTCTGGGGGTGCGGAGCTGTTCAAAACATTTTGCACATAATGGTTCTAACTTACAACCAATTAAGAGCTGGGATAAGCTTTCAAAGTTTGTTTACTACTACTTTTTCTCCACTTTGCTTGATTCCTTGTACACTACAGAATGTGGGCAATGTTGTGGGCTGGGTTTTTTTGGGGGGGTGGGGTGGGGGAGGGTGTTGGTTGTTGGGGTATTTTTTGTTTGGTTGTGTTGTTTTTGGTTGGGTTTTTTTTGTTTGTTTGGTTGTTTTTTTTACAGTTGCTTTATGTTTATACCTCTGAAGTCTTACATGCCCCACAGTAATACTGTTCACACAGTGATGCAACATTGATCCAGAGGAGTATTTAGGATGCAGCTGAATCACAAGGAACTAGCTGCTCCCTGGAGCAAAAAATTTCCTCTTCCTATTAATTACAGGAGAGGCTGCCCAGAGATCGGTTAAACTCTGCTAACAGTTAGCTCCCTCCCTCTGATGATCTTCACCAAACATGTCTGGCCATGGAAAATTATTTTTATTGCATACCTGGAATTTCCCTTGCCCTGCAAACAAAAAGCCAAACACAACTGCAAAAAAGCTCTGTATTTGGAAACTTCCTGAATTCTCCAAAACCATCAACCAACACATTTCATGTGTGCATGAATTTAAATATGCTTTGCCTCTACCAGTCAATCCTGATCTCCCACATTCATTTTCTTTACCTGTGAGAAGTTCGTTTTTTCCCCCATGTAGCATTTTAAAAATAATGAGAGGACACAACACCTGGTGCTTCAGTGTTACTAGTCTTGTAGTTTTTGTCTCCAAGAGTTTACACTCCAAATACAGCCTAAAGAATAAGTGATTTCCATGCTTAACATCCAGAAGACAGGAAGAAAAGTGTAGTTATGTTTGAACACCGGCATGACTGGAGTTGTTTATTTTGCTGACAGTGTGGGAAGCGACCCTGTATACAAATGATTTGAGTTGAAGAAAAGTCGGTACAGAAATAGATAAATCTCTAGAGAGAAAAGCATTCTCTGATAGATTCCTGTCTGATCTTCCATGGAGTAACTATATGGTCCATCTCAGAACTAAACCAATCACATTCTCTAATACTTCTGCTTTGTATATTATCTCCCACAAGCAATTGAAAAATGGGATTAGCTGTATCCTAGAAATTATTTTCGGAAAAGAACTATTCCACAAGTCCACTAAACAACTCTTAAGTTGAAAATGAGCTGCTCAATCGACATGTTTTTCAGTGGCATATGTTGAACTGTCAATATAGAGCCAAATTTACTTACACCACCTATATGCTTCTAATCCTCTTGCATCCAGTAACAAAAATATATCTCTTTTAACCATTTTAATAAGTTTTGGCTTAGTATGTTTATTATGGAAGAACACAGTGACCAACAAGCGATCCTTTATACTCTTAGCTCATTTTTCCCTTCCCCTACATGTCTTTGATTATTAAATGCATCCTCCAGCAATATGTAGACTTAATACTTATCACTTGAATGCAGCACTTTTTGCTTCTTCACATGGCTAAGTTGCTTAATACTCAACAGCTGTGTGTGTATGGGGCGAATGATGACACGACCTGAACAGCAGCATCACACAAGCAGTAAGGGAGTTATGACAATGACAGTGTTTAGAAAGATATCACAAAATTGAAACACAAATGTGTAAATAAAAAACAAGAGCCATTTAAAGGAAGTGGAAACTGTTCTAAGATGACCAGTTTCTACAATGAAATCTCTTCAACTCCCCAGCAGATTTGGTGGAACCTTCTCCTTCAACCTCCCAACAGAACCAGTTGCTGTTGCAACACAGAAGAAGTATAAAAATACAAGTCCTTTAAGTTATAAAACCTTAACACAGGTACTTCCTGAGTATCACATGGTCAAATATAATACTGTTCCCTTCACATAGACACGTACTTAAAAAATGTGAACGCAGTAACACAGAAGTCATGTAAGCTTAGATTAAAATACCTAATGAAATCCTCCTGTTTTTTTCTTCTTATACTACATGGATTTAAGTATTGTGTGCAAACCTGAGGGGATAGGTCTTAAACCTATCTACGGTTTAGTTGCTGCTAACTCTGTGGCTAGCCACTGGGCTTAGTGAATGACGTATCTCAAATGGAAGAGTTCCAGAGAGCATCTAAAAATAACAATCACCTTAATCTAAACACTGGGTATTTTAACAGGAGGGAGTATTTCCATTTTGCAAAGGCAATACCCATTCAAAGAAAAATACTCATTTCAGAGTCAGTGTTCTCACTTCTGTGTCCACAGAAGACTTGATTACACACATGGATATTATTTCCTGTTCCAGTTTATCTGCAATTTGAATATACAGTGCTCATGCTTAATGAATTAATTAATTCAGGGCAAGTCTCTACTTGGTTACACATGTTAAAAGTCCTCTCATTGTAAAAGCGCACCTACATTATTCAGCCATTCAATTTAAATTAATCATTGTAGTAAAAAGTCTGTATTTTAACCAGAGAAATGGAATATTTTCAGTATTTAAGGCATTAAAAATAAAATTCCAAAATATACCTGAGTTCATTCAAATACATGTTTCCTGGAACCACGTTCTCAAATATACCAAGATTGTATCCTTATTAATACATTTATGCTAGTAAAGGATTAGATATCCTGATTACTCCAGCAAGATGAACATTATACAAAAAAAAATACAACAGTATTGTTTTCTGTACAGTGATCCTTCAAGAATCAGCAGATTTGTTGGCACCTTCTCCTTCAGCTTCCTGATAAGATCAATTTCCTTCGCAATGAGAAGCAAGTATAAATTTCAGGAAAGCCACATTCAGTGATATGAGACATCTGTGTTTTTCTTTCATTCTAATACATACCTGATCGGGATGATATAGGAAAACAGGAGGAGGAACCGGAAAAGGTTGCGATACCATGGGCCTACAAATCCTTGCAAGGTTACCATAACAACTGATAGTGCAACTAAAGCCAAAAACAGGGCTTTGGTCAGTTGATTCAACTCCAGGTCCAGCAAGCCAACCTAGAGGAAGTAGTATAAATCAAGTTAGTCATGACTTTTTCTTAAATTGACATTTTTGCGGTGCAAACAATTAGCTATTATTGGCTTTTTTTATTCCTACCTATTAAAATCCATGCACTTGTAACAATTAACTTCATTTTGATAACTGAATTGATTATTGTTCCTATGCTTGCATGCAACAGATATTCCCTAGTTACAGGACAATAACAATTCCCAGAACCAGTCTGAACTGTCCCAGCCAGGCCTTTTGAATGCCTTTACGCCTGACACATCCCTGCCCCATCCCCTGATTCAGGATAGGAACACAGAAGGGCAAGGAGAAAAGACAATTAAAGATTAACAAATGAGCAGGAACAATTTTCTTCTGTCATGCATGCAGCAAAAATACTGGCACTGTATATTATATTTGTAGGGTAGCTACTGCTCATTTACTGCTAGAAGATCAAAAACCTGTTAGATTCAAGTATCAATGGACAAATGCAACAGAGCTACCTTCTCATTCATGTAACTAGTGTACTGTAGCCTGTAACTATACTCCCATACCGGTCTGTAAATCTGAACTAATTTCATAGAAATATTTTTTAATTGTATGAAGCTTTCAGTTATTCAATATAATAATAAAAAACAACAATCAAGTGGAACATCCATTTTCAAACCAAAATAGTAGAACAGAACTTCAATTCTTCACAAGTAAAGAGGTACTTGATTTAGAAACATTTCAGCAAAAACATTAAGAGAGGCTATCTTTCATCCACTGTTTCTCATGAAAAAATATTTTTAAGCTATGTAACTAAGACTCTCACCATTTCAATAATGTATGCTGTAAGCTAAGTATTTATACTCCACTTTTTGGGATGTTCTTGTAGTCAGTAAAATATGTGGGAAAATTATGTCAGGAAGAGTTTCCTAGGCCCCGTCACAGATGCCCCTTTTATCTCCAAGTCTTGCCAGTAAGACCAGCAAAACATAACACTTCCTTAGATAACAAACATTCTGCAAAAGAACCACTTTAAATATAGTTCTTAAAAATTCCAGCAATCTTGCTTATACATGGGCTGTCCCTTCCCTAGAGAACCAGGCAGCTGAAGACCACAGCGGCTGATTTATCAGCTGCATTTAAAAAGCAGCACAACGAGGACAAATATCTTGCAATTTCCGCTGCTTCAACTACTACATAGTTTATGCTTGAATTATTGAGAAAAATAGGTTTTTGGATTAAAATGAAGAAAAATTAAGCCAGGGAAGTAGAGCATGTTTCAAAGCCCAGATCTTTTTGCGTTGACAAAGGCAGCCTAAGTTTCAGGCCTCGCTGAGGATCAGATGAAGTCATTATTCATTCAGTCAGGGAAAAAAGACTCAATTACCTCAACCTAAAGATGCTATCAATGAATGCAAAGTGCATATTTTACTCTATTCATCCAAATCCCATTAAAAAGTGAAAGGAATGATTTAATCTGGCCTTCTAGAGTTGGTCTTTTTTTGTAATAAAATAAAGAATCACTGTCTTGCAATATGCATAACCACTACCTCACACTTTTTTTTCCTGCATCATGGTAGTGAAAGCCTATCTCTCCCCTCAGCTCCCCCCTCCGACCCCCGTAAAAACCCCACCCCAGAATAGAAATGAATAAAGATTTTCTTTGGAAAGAATGCCACTTTTTGGACAGAAACATTAAATTTAGTCCACTGCACACTGATACGTCGCTAATTCAAAGCATTAATACCTTTCTAATTGATGAAGACAGATGTGAATTTAAGTTTGGAAACCAACAAAAATGTGTTTGGAGAGATATTAAGAGAATAAAGAATTTTATGAAAAATTTTCACACAATAAATCTCTTGCTCAAGAACATTTGGTTTGTTACTAATAATGTCATCCTTTTTCATACAGATCATACTATTGGCCATAGTAAATTTTAGTATTTTCATTCACTATAGCAAATGAAGGCAATTACAAAACCCTACTCAAGGCGGCACACAAAGAAAGTAGGTTTTAATAGAATGCATTCTCCATTTCTCAAAAATTAGTTACTATAATACACTGAAATATAATTAGTTTAATATTGTGCCTTTCCACTTTAGCAACTTCTGCACTCAAGCTAATGAAACACTGTTGAATTATCCAGATACATTTAACGTAGAAATTCACTAACATTCTCTAAAATTCATCTGAATATTGGAAAAGTGGGTAAACTTCATTTTAACTGCATTGTGATTTTATCAAAGCATTTGTAAAATATAACATCTTAAGAAAGTGATTTCTTTCCTTTTGAAAGTAATCATAACCAGAATAATTATGACAATATAAGAAATAGATGAGTTAAAAATTGGAGTAATTTTCCACATTTATTGCTATTTCCCATATTAGAAAAGCAAATTTTCTTCTACGTGTCATAATATTTGTTCTATTTGAAACAACTGTGTTAACAAAATTAAACACACCACTGGAAATTTTAATCTCCAAGGGAAAATTTGTACATAATGTCTAAGACAACCACAATAGTTTTGCAAAGGGGCTGCTGTACAGTGATGAACACAATAATTGCCTGTATAATCTAAAATGCTACTAATGGCAACAACTGCAAATCCATTTAGCTCCTCTTTAATTTATGCACGAAGTTTTAAATAGCTAATGGTTCTCAGTAAAATAATGGCTTATACCATCAATAAAAAGTATGGCATTGTCTACTTGCACCAAAAAAAGCCTACAAGTTTTTAAAATACTTTATTTTTGAATGAGGGAATGATTAAAAGGTCTAAACTTCACATTTTGGACCACAAGGTGTAAGTCATTATCTTATGAAAAAAAATCTTAATTTATTTAGCAAAAGTTGAAAGCAACAAAAAACCTTTCTGACTACTGAAATAGAACATGAACAGCAATATTGCTATTGCTGCCCTAGATGCTTAACTTTTGGGAAAAGTTACCCTCTGAAGCTATTATTGTAGTAATAGAACAATTCTTCTAACGTTATAAAAAGTGTATTTCTTGGAGAATGAGAAGGTTTTTTTTTTTCTAGAATATTGAAATGCAAAATTTGATAATTAAATGTTGCACAATGGTCAAGATTTCTCAAAATAGTCTAGTGCAACCATTTTTTATTCAATTACAGTTTAAAATGCATTAGAAATAATTGGTCATAAATAGCCTTTTTTAAGCGCCCTACTTTAATACTGTTGAAGTATTAAGGCACTATCGCAACCAAATTCCTCCACGAAGGTAATTATATTTCAGTAATCAGTCTGGTTCTGCACTGACAAACACCATATTGACTACAATGAAATTTCATGGTATGTATGTTTGAGATAGACTTTGGCTTAATTTGCACCATAAACATAAAAATTTTCTTTCCTATTCTTAATACATGCTCTGAACTTTACTTTATTAAACCTTGAATACTAGTCGATTATTCATGTTTTCATTAATTCTAGTCTAAACTTACATGTAACAGCTACACAAAGAGTAAGGTAAGTATTTAAAATTACTAAAATTCAAATAATATATCTTTCTTCTTTGGGCTGACAAAAACAAGCTTTGCCTAAGAAAAATAATTCATAGCATTTCATCATTTATAAAAAAATAATTTTTATATAGACTACTATATACAGTTAGCTGCACATATCTGAACCCCTATGGCTTTCTTCAATAATCTGTTAAACCTTTCCTATAGTCCCTAGGAATAATAGATTATTAATCTGTGTTTAAAGGCTAAATAGACACATCATTATCTGTTTACCTTAATCTTTGACACTAAAAACATGTACAGCAACTTTGGAATCTGTAAGTGTTTCTTTGTTAAGTCTCCTAATTCTAAGGTTATTCCTATGATTCAAATTCTTGACTGCTCAGCAATCCAGGTAACTACATTAAGCTAATATAACTATGAATCAAAACAAGTAAAGCAAATGAATTCAAGTTTAGGAAGCATCTTTCCTTAATTCACTGTACTCAAGTAATGGTCTGACAAATGTTTCTCTACAAGCCTGTCTTGATTAACATAAAACCCACCAAATCTTGCATACATTATGTTACACTTTTCAATCAATATCTTACTCGTTCTTTTAAGCAGTACATTCAAAGGTAGGAAAAGCAAAGAAAACACTGAAATATATACAGTGACCATTTAGTGAAAAAAGTCACCTATCCCTGCTTTTTCTCAGATCCATTTTCAAACATCCCAATCACTTGTTTAGCTGCAAGAGCAACAATGACAAACCTTGGAAACATTTTCTGAAGCACTAAAAACCTATTACAAGTTTTATTCATTTTAGAATTAGAGCAATAATCGTGGTGGTGTGTTGGGGTTCTACTTGACTTAGTAAAACTGAAATAAACGTTAATTATTTAGTCCACTTCAGTGGAGTCATACAAAAGTAATAACCAGAAAATAGTCTATTTGATTCCAGTAACATTTTCTGTATTTCCTTTGGCAAAAAAAGTATGCATCCTTCATGCTACCTTTAATGCAACCCAGTATCACTTTGACCAAACTGAAATATTTGGCATTATGTTAATATTGCAGGTTTATGGAACTGAATTACATCTATTCTACATTGATTTCAAGAAACATTTTTAGATATTTAGCATTGATTGTATCCCCAGAGAAACAAATTACAATTACTTGTCTATATTCTTACAAAAAACAGCCCCTATCCAACAGATAGGGGCAGATTTAAACAGATTAAAACAGATTTAAAACAGTAGAAATATTTTAAAACTCAAGAAGAAATACATGGTTATCACCCAAAGGAGGAAGAGTAAGCTGCAAGGAGATAATGTTTTTTTGAATGTTTTGATGCATATTCAAAAACAGAGGTTTAAATGCTTTTAAAAGCAAAATAAGTTTATTACATTTTGAAATTATCCTTCTGGCTTGCCTGTTTTTACTTTAACAAGCTATTCATAACTGCATAATATCTATGTTTGAAATAAACTAATCATTTTAGAAACAAAATTCCCTTTTGTAGCTAGTAATATCTATAATGCTAAAAGAAACGAA